AAAATAGTATGTTTATGTATATCTATTTCTTAGCATGAAGGCACATTTATGTGTCTGTATTTTAAATTTTTGAATATAGCAAAATACTAAAATTATTTGTACACTTCCCAGTAACATATTTACAAAGACTTATTCCTCAATTTTCATTTACTTGGAAGGTCATTTTGTAAATGACCATTGTATTTGCTTTATTTAAACTAATTTATCAAATAATAATGTCTATGGTTGTGAAAATAGTGCTACTTGTAGAAATTACCCAGAATTCCTTTGACCACAGCTAATTCTTAACATTGTTTAAGAATAATTTCAGGTAGCACTTGCAAATTCAGATTACATAAATAGTTCCAAGTTTCAGTTCAAAAACACAAGGTGATTTTATGGAGTAGCATTTTATTAAAAAATACAAAGCCTTCTTATTACATCAATTGAAAGCACTAATGTCTTTTTACTGTGAATTAAAGAATTATTTTTAAAAACTTAAAAATACCTATATCCCATTTAACAGTAAATATTGCATGCAATAGGACTCTAGAAAGTATTCTAAATATGTATTAAAATGACCAACTGATCAGTAATTTGCATCACTTAGCAAAAAAGATTTGACAGTAAATTACTGGGTCTGATATGTGCATGCTATAGCATAGTATATTCAGCATCAAAAAATAAAGTAAAATGCAATTACCCTAAAAGACATTTCAAGATTCTCTCCACCCCAGATATCCATTCCTGCATCGTAAGTTCCTATCTCTTCAAAGTAGTTTCTGTCAATAGAAAATAGGCCACCAGCCATAGTAGGGGTCCTAGTTGAAAAAAAAAACAAAAGAAAAGAATATGTTTTGCAAACAATGTGTGGAATTTAATGAGACTGTAGCAAATATTTCTGAGACATTTTAAATATAAAAAATAGTACTCAAAAATCTCAAACTGGAAACATAAAGTAAAGGTGTAAGATGTTTTATAATTAATAAAAAGCATTTTATCTCACATTTTATGTAAAATTTGCTTTAGATTAATCTATGTTTTTCTTATAGATGATCAAATAGATACATGGAAAGAACACTGGCCATTTAAGACTGGGGCTTCTAGCTTCCTTCTGAAAGGCATAGGGAAGAGAGGTTTTTGCCTTTTGTATTGTCCTTAAAGAGATTAACTGGTCATGAAACTATCAGTTGTGATCAATTATAAACCATCTTAATGTAAAGTCTAGGAACCGGTGGACATAGTTTCTCTATGAAAAGATCCATAGTCTACTTAAATATGAAAATAATAAATGCTATAAAATGTTTACAGGAAATAAATATATTATGACAGTTACAAAAGTATTTTTAACATAAGAGATTTACATCTAATTATTCTAATTAAAAGGATATAATTAACCATCTAATCTATGGATAAACATAAATCTCATATGCTATTCAGAGGTTTAAAAGGACATTTGGCAGGGATTCTAAAACTTTTTCCTAGGAATAAATGCCTTTTGGTTCTCACATTTGAGATTTCTCTATAGAAACTAAGAAGTCAGATGTTAAGTTTTTAAAGAATTAATTAATTTAAAAAGTTTAATTAAAGACAATGCTTAATGAGTGAGCTACACAAGGCTTTCTAAATAGGCAGAATGAATTCGAGATAAAAAAAAAAAACTGTAGTTGCTCATAAATAGATCCTTACTGGCGATGATGGTTTTTGAATGTTTCTGGTAACGTAGTGGTTTCCAACCTACTTAGCACATTAGTAGCACTGAGGTACCTTTTAAAAAAGATGTTCATGCTTGGGTATCATCCTCCACAGATTCAGATTTAATTG